CATTATAAATCCAAATTTCTTTTTTAGCTCGAAATAGCTATTCTAGTCTCCCATTTAACTCTTTAACTCTTTGTCAACAAAAAAGAAATTTGGAATTCCTATTTTAACTCCAGGAGTTATATACCAATATTTTCATGCACTATTATGTAAGAGATGTCATCTTGAACACACACACACACACACACACATTTCATCCCAGGATTTCCAGGAGCTTTCAGAATAGTTCAAGAGAGTACATCAAGGCTCTCACCCTTTTAGCTCAACTGGAAGGCTGCACAACCAAATTTTTCTTTAAAATTAATATTAAAATATGTATATCCTGCCTTCTGATTTATAATATTATTGACAAATAGTAAAAAAATATAGGCAAATCATAAACTTTACGGTTGGAGCGATGGCATGCACAATGATGTCTCATAAAAGAATAGGGCGGGAGGTGGGAGTTATTTATCTGTGTGGACTCCAGAACATACAGATCGACTGCCTGCGTGCCCAGAATTTTTCATAAATATCTCACCGTGCATTACATTATACAGTCGCCATACATTAATTAGAGCATCCGACAGACACTGCAATGTGTTACACTCACCCAAGTGAATCTTCATTTTTCACATGCAGGGCTTTACTAATTAAAATCAGCTTTGCAATTAAATGTGGAAAATTGTGTTAAACTTTCAAGCATGGTTTTAAGGAGGTGGGATGGAGAGCGGGGGCAAAACGAAGAGGAAGAAAATAATTTTTTAAGGGGGGGGGAAACCATTTCTTTATTTTCATGCAAATGAAACCCTCCCCTCAGACCCCCCCCATCAAAAGAAGAACTGGTGAAAGGGAAGGTATGAGGATTTTTCCCCCTCCCTTGTTGCTTTCTTCCCCACCCCTGTATTATACATGCTTCTCTCTGTTGCAGAGGCAATATTTCCGCTATCTTCCTGCCAGTCCTTGGCCCAGTTCCAATGCTTTTAGTGAATGCTATCTGTCAAGGCATGAATAATACAGCCTCTAGGCTGTCGGCAGAATCCAAATGAGGCATACATCAGGAAGCAAGCACTCGACTTTAGCTCCAGAACATGCTCCTGTGAAGACAGGCAATTATTCACCCACGGCTGCAGTCATGGCAATCAAACCAGTGGGTGAAAAGGTATAAGAAGCACAGGGGGAGGGGAGAGGGGAAGAGAAATGGGCACAACAGCACAGAGAATTAGGCAATTCTCGCATAAGAAAGGATTTTCTCATCAGAGAGATACATTCAGCTCACAGTTAAGAGGATGCTCCGGCAAACATAGCTATTCTAGTTTACTTCATTCTTTATTCAGAGAGTTAAACCTAAATGGATCAATATTTACTTTTTAAAAAATCAAGTTTCCAGGATTTATTCTCCCACTTTTCTACCTTGTTTTTAAAAAGCTTAAATAGAAGGAAAGAGAGATGGATTAAATAGAACATTTGATTTTTAGCTACATAGTAAGATGATTCTGTTGATTAAAAAGGAAAAAGATGTGCTGGGGGAAAAGACTGAAAAAAGGATTTCCAAAGGGGCAAAGAAAAGGAATGGCTGGTTTGCCACGATTCTCTCTCTCTCTCTCAAAAAAAAAATAAAAAATAAAAAATAAAATCAGAAATAATTTCATAGCCTGTTTTTTAAAAAATCATTTTAAAAGATGATTCGGGACAGCAAAAAATATTCCACAAGCACTATACTTCGATGCCCTGTGCTCATGACTTCCTCAATGTACTGTAGTTCAAATTACAGTGAAAGTATATTTACACATGGGAGAAGAGACACCCATTCTCACCACCACCATCACTGGTGATTTCAGTTGGGAATTATTTCAGAGCCTCTCCTAAAATGAAAATAGGAGATGGGATAAAATTATTTAAATGAACCTGAAATCATTTAAGGCTTAAGTTCCTTAATAACTTCAGTATAATTTTGCCTATTTTGTGCAATCAGCTAAAGGAGGCCCAGTGTGTGTTCCAGCACTAGGAGAAGTTTGGCTAATGGCAGCAAACAGCAGAACCTTCCTAAGCATAGTTTAGGTAGCCTGGGGCAGTAGATAATGTTTTGGGAGAGTTGCCCTTTCTTTGAGTTATAATCCCAGGACAGAGATATCATTAGACCTGGAAAAAACACACAGAGAAAGACTTTTTTTTCCCCCTTCCCATCTTCTCAAAATCTCTCTACTACTGCTATTAACCCTAAGGGTCTTCCTCAGAAATTTATAGCTTCATTGGAATGGCCTGGCCACCCAAGTTTTACTCCATGTAGTGGAATAAATTACCACTGGCCTTTCCTTATCCCCAGGCAAGGATCTATGGAGCCTTATCGCTAGTCTCTAAACGGCAATCACAAAAACCAGGAATGCAAAATCAGGGAAGACAATGTTTCATTCCATTTGGACCGTCCTACTTGCTATCTTTAATCTTGTCTTTATTGGTTTTATTTTAATTTGTTTTGATTTGAGTCATTGAGACTCAGATGGCATACAAGTTTAATAAATAATCATAATAATTTCATCAGCCACTGCTTCTACCATTAGGGCAAAGCTGGTTTCTACCAAGGGCTGATTCAGTGGAAATGTTCCTTAGTGGCTTTGTTGTAAGCTCCTTGGCAGCGAGTAGGAAAGAGCACTAGTACCGGTGGTAGCATCAATAGCTTTAACTTTTTAATTGAAGTGTTGGCACATTTCACAAACTTTCTCCTTGAGTGCATTGACTTTAAAAGAAGCTACATACAGGTAAGCTGGCATAAACTTGCCTGTATAATCACCTTATTCTTTGGAAGGAGATTTGCTTCAGCACCTCCCAAAGATACTGCCAAGGAAGCAGTAGGAAGTCTCTTATACCCAGATAATATCTAATCAGGATGACTTTTTGGCTAGACATGTCCTTATTTATTTATTTATAAATAAAACTTTATTTATAAAATTTATAGTCCACCCATCTTACTTCAAGGTAATTCTTAATGAGTTTTGTCTTATTAATTATGGTTTATTATTATTTGTCATTGGACATTGTATTTGTGATTTAAACTATCATCTAATATGCTCATTGAAAATTTACATTTTGGTACATTTGTCTGCAATCTCCCTAATTAATTTTCACTTGATTATCCTGGGTTCCAGGGAAAATAGTTTCAATTTCCTCAGGTTTATCCAACCTGGGAGTTTTATTTCACTGTGAAGTCAAAGCAGACATTCTTCCTTCCATGTGCAGAAAGTTGGAATGTCAAGGAAGTAGCAATTTAGGTTAAAGTTCCTTCCTCTCTCCTCCTTTGCTTTTACCAACAAGACAGAGAAGATTCAGATCAACTGAATTGTTTAAAGGTTTTCCTGTTCCCCAATACTTGTCTACTTACAGCAGAGTAAGAATATCAGAAAATGGAGTTATTTCATTTATTAGATGTACATGGCTACCCATCTCACCTTAGTGAGAGGGGAGCTTGAAGAACATATAAAAGTAGAATTAAAAAACATTGAAATCCCAAGAATAATAAGAAGCACATGAAAGATGGGTATAAAAATTACTGACATAATTTCATTTCATTATATACATATTGCTTTGATTTTCTACAAATGTAAAGTAATATTGAGAACAAAGAGATATTTGCAATGTATTGATTAAAAAATAATACATTATTTAAAACAAACATTGCATTAAAATTGTAACTTGAGAACTTCTTTTTGTAGTCATATTGATGAGAAATGGAAGAATATACTTAATTTTAAAAATTCTTCAAAAATTCACATGGTAATGTAATTCAACCAATAACTTGATTTTGTCAGAAGTTAATATTTAATTGTACAAATCAATCATCTTTATAGTGTTTGTGAGCTGACAAAAATACAATCAGCAAAAAACAGAATTAAGTAAATTTATGTCTCTTCTAACTTAATGAATCACTTTGTTTTGTACTACTGTGCCTACCTATAAAATGAAAAAAAAAATCCTTTCAAATTGTGTTTGGAAAGGCATTCTTCAAAGTAGGGTATAATTTTTCTTAAAAAGTGAATAAATTATAGGGTATAATTTAAAAATTATAGGTTTTTTTTTAAAAAAAACAGGCTATTGAAAAAAATACAGACTTGGATCCTAAATTGTTATACTGTTCACAAATATTATGTATTATTTAAGAGATGCATCTTTATTTCAGCATTACCCTTAAGATCATCAAATCCCAGAAACAGATATCAAGGCCACATTAGCATGGAGACAGAAAACAGGAAAAAAACAAGAGTTAAAGAAGAGTTACTTTGTGCAAAAAAAGTTGTATCTTCTAAGTCTGTAGCTCTGAGGCAAAATTATTCCATTTTTTCCACAAACATTTTGACAATGTCTAAAAAGACATTCCTTTCATTCCATAATTTTGATTGTGTGAAATCATTTATACCGTAAAGGATTTATATCACTTGCCCTCAGTGATATCAAATGGGATTGGCCTAGAACTATTGTATCATAGTTAGACTGCATGGTTATCATGTCTGAACAGAACTGAGTTATATGCATAAGAAGCATGGAATCGGGGCACTGCTGCTCTTTCCAATTTCCTTGCAAGCACTGACTCTAAATCTCATGCTAAGCAACAATATCTTCAGGTTTTTTTCTTGCATTCACTTGAAAATGAATTAAAAACTGTCATGCAACTAAGAACATAGTTTGCCTGTCTGCAGACTTTGTTCTGATTTTTGGTTGTTGTGTCTTTCTAGGCATTGATTCATATTATCAAATAAAAAATAAATATCAGTTTATTTTATTCAACTTATTCTTGGTGCTCCAAAGAGCAAATGTATTTATCTGCATCTAACTTATCACTCTGCTCCCATTATATGTCTAAACTAGGGTACTCATCTTAGGATTGGATTGTGTGCCATGGTAGTTACTTTGAAACAATTTGTGGTTAAGAATGTAGAGTTAGCAAAGTTTGTATTGATTTCTTTATTCATTCCATCTTTCCATCCCAATTCCCTAAATCCTGTTGAAGTTGAAGATTTTAAACTCTAGCATTTGTGTAGTTTATTACAAGATTGGGGTTTTATTGATTCCTTTAATACAATATATATATACATATTAGAAACTGATGAACATCTGGGGTACTACATATACATATTAAAGGGCATGACAAAAACAATTTTCATCCTCCAATCAGTGTATTCTGTTCAATGCTTTTTTGCAATAAATATGGCCATTGTTGATGTAAAAGCAAGCATGAAACCGAAAGACATAGCATATTATATATACAAATTATGTATGCATGACTACTCTGTTCCATGTTTAGACACCAAAATCAAACCAATGGAAAATGCATAGCAAAATTTCCTAGGCATTCTTTCTGGCAACTTCACCCACCTGCAATGACAAATATGACTTGATAATGGAGAAATTCTATTCCCTAAATTTAGTTTTAATTGCTCTAACTGCAAGACTTTGAAATATAGCTCAAAAGAAATTGTATCAAGACCTGATGCACTGAGGAGTTAATAATATCCATGAATCTAAATAAAATGGTTGGAAAACACTTAGGGAATACGGGCTACTTTGTTTATGATTCAACTCTGTGTTAAAAGTATTTTTACCTATTAATATCCATAAATCTATATGCATTCAATTTCATACTCAGTAGAGCTGCCACTTGTTGTCTTTATAACTTGGGTCTTTTGAAAGAGTTGAAGGCAGCTTTCAATATTATAGGAATAGAGTTTGGCGCTTTTGTTATAAGCATTTGGAGTTTGAATTAGGCATATATTAAAACCGTTCCTCTGAAATCATCTACACTCTTTCACTTAAAATACAGAAATAAATATTTTGCTCTGCAAACATGTATATAATATAATCATCTATATAAAACATGGTAAAATTATGACATGAATAACAGTCACAAATTTGTAATTCACAATTATATTAGACTATATTTCTTACTACTAATTCTGATCAAATCTATGTGGCATTCAGTGGTGGTCCCTAGATATTTTCCTTTCAATATAACTGTACCCCTGAACTTTTTGTGCTGAAAAGCCTGTGTTTTTATTTCACTTAGGGACCAGATTAAATGACAGTAGTCATGCCAACTGAAAAAAAAATGTCACTAGTCATATTTTAATTTGCTATATAAGTTTGTTAGAACTGCATAGCTCGCCTAACGGTAGAGGAGAAGTAGGAATGCCTTCAAAGAAATGATATTTTATGGTGCTGATATCCAGGGACTGCCAATATGATTAATATGTCTATTTAGAAATAAATTTGATCAAAAAGTTAGAAAAGGACAATTGCATTTCCTTCTTTGATCATATGGCAAGATCTCAATTTCTGGGAGAGAAAGTAAATGATTAGAACGTTAGAATAAAATGAGACTGCAATTAAGTGAAAAGTGGGGGGAGGGGAGAATGCAAGTACAAAAGAATTTCTTGACTATACTATCAGTTTCTAGCCATTACAACTAGGTCATTAAGGCAGTCAAGTCAGGTAACTTGCTTATTAGATGCCTTCAGTTTAATCCATCATTAGCACACAGTCGCTCTCTCTCTCTCTCTCTCTCACACACACACATATTACCTTCTGTGTCTTGCATATTTGCCACTAACATGACCACTGCCATCACAGCCAGGAGTAGGGCAGCTATAAAAAAAATGAATTAATTATAAAGGTTTCTATATGCTGCATAGAAATTGTATTAAATGCAGGCAATAGTTGTTACAGAGATGGAGGGCAACAAAGAGAGAGAAAGAAAAATCAAATAACTGAAGGAAAAAGGGAGGAGGGAGTGCTTTTTATTAGCAAATCCCAGGGGAATTAATTTCATCAGTGCAGCAGGGCATGAGCAAGCCACCAATGAACTTGAAAGTGCATTATACCCATTAAAAGACATGAATTTTCTAAATTGCTAATGGGGATACATTTTATACTCAGCACACTAACCTGAACAGCTCTTGTATGGCTGGTTCCACGGGAACTGCAGAGAGATGGAAAATATATAAAAATTTATCATCTATTACAAGTACTCCTCCTTCTGCTGAAAATTGCCCAAAAAGGCTGTAAAAAAACAAGGGTCACCATGCATCATGCAAAGAGATTCTGGAGGATGAAGGTCACCCTGAGCAGGGGGCCTTGAGTGATTTACTGAAGCAAGAGACGTACCTCGAACACCTTTGGACCGTGTGCGATGGCGCTTCTCGTCTGCCTCCACCTCCATCTGGGAATAGATTAGCAGGCAGTCAATGCTCTTATCCTTCATGCACAGACTATCAATGCACAGACAGATACGGGCTCTGTATTTATAGACAATATTTTAATTCCATTTTATCCTGCAAGTAAACAGCCTGCACTGAAGGGGATTTTTTTTTAAAAAAAAGGCTCTCAATATTTGTTTGAGAACAAAAACCCACCGGGTAATTTCTTATATTAACTGTGTTTGCTGCTTTTCACAACTCTTTTATGCTTTTTTGTTGTTTGTTTGTTTTTTTTAAAAAAATGATTTAATGGCAACCCAATATCGGCAGAATAACAACTGATTTTTTTGCAACATGAAACTGAGGTTGGTTCTCTGCCATATTGTACTGGGAGACTTTCAAACAAGGTTTTTTTTTTTTTAAAAAAAAATATTTCTACAAAAGAAGAAGGAAGGGAAGAAACACAATGAGATATTGAGATTTGAAGTATCTTCTGGGTTTTCACTATAGAAAAAAGAAAGAGTCTGTCTACTATAAATATCTAAATAAATTATTCTTATATATTTATACATTGTAAATAACTTAAAAATAAAATGTTTTCCATTTTGAATGTATAGAAAATCTAAGGGTTTTCCCTTTCTGTTTAGAAATTCCACTCATCACAAATATCAGTGCACGTTATATTTTTATCAGCATAATAGTATGACTGGGTTGTAGTTAAAGTATATAGGACATAAAAGATTACTGTATATAGATGATCAATCTTTTAAAAGAAAACACTCAGTATGCTCATGTGTGGCCAGTTTAAAATTATTTAAAATGCTAGATTTAATAGTTCATCATCAGAGAGGCTATTTTGAAGATATTCAGTGTAGAACAGTGTTTCCCAAACTTGACAATTTTAAGGCATGTGGACTTCAACTCCCAGAATTCCACAGCCAGCGTTGCCTTAAAATTGTCAAGTTTGGGAAACACTGGTGTAGAAATTGGCTAGAGGCCTGTTATGCTGTGTTACTTATCATTATGAGTACACATTTGTGTTAGGACTATGCAAAACTTTGAGAGGCTGCTTTGATTTAAGAAAGCATTGGTCAAATTCCGCTGGAGCCGGTTTGCACACTGAAGTATTGACCCGCTTCAAAGTGCTTCGTAGGATTTTGAAACATTTTGCAGATTTGATGGGTTTTTCATTGTGTCAGGAATGGTTACAATGTTTCAATTCAACTAATACATATGGTCAATGGTGTGGTGGATTTCTTGACATTTATTAAAACAATGAGATTTAAATTATCACTTGTTAAACTCTAAGCTTAACAATAGATGACAAGGCTAACCAGGATTTGGGTTCTCAGATCTCACCATCTTGACTGTAACAGCTACAACAGTTGAATTTTGTTTTGCCATTGAAATGTTTTATTTGGGGGCTGGTCCTGCCAATACAAATAAGAGTTCACCTCACTCACAGCTGTCTTAATAAGGGCTACAGGATTGGGACAATTTTAAAATCTCTTCCCAGGCAGTTAATGCGCACAAGGGTAATCCTTATAGACACTTCTCAAACTTTTACAAGAGGGATAATGCAGCTATGAATTCTAACTTCTATATGTCAATCCTTTCCTCTGTTCTTGCCTTTCTCTATGGAATTGCAACCCAGCACTCTGGAAGAGCAATAAAAATAAATGTGTACAGGTAATCCTCTACTTACAACCATTTATTTAGTGACCATTCAAAGTTACAACAGCACTAAAAAAGGGATCTATGGCCGTTTTTCACTGTTGCAGCATCGCCATGGTCATGTGATCCAAACTTGAGCACTTGGCAACTGTTATGCACGTAGGACAGTGGCACTGTCCCAGGGTCATGTCATCATCATACGAAAGCTTCCCAGCCAGCTTCTTACAAGCAAAATCGATGGGGAAAGCCAGATTCCCTTAACAATGGTGTTACAAACTTAACAATTGCAGTGATTTGCCTAACAACTCTGACAAAAAGTTTGTAAAATGAGGTACAGTTGTGGTTGTAAGTCAGGCATGTCAAACTCGTGACATCACGTGACATCGCACGACATATTGCGACTTTTCTCCCATTGCCAGCAATGGGGTAGGCACAGTTTCGACGTGACGCATCTGGCCTGTGGGCTGGCAGTTTGACATACCTGTTGTAAGTCAAAGATTATCTGTATCTTTCAAGAGTATTGAATTTGCTTCATTCCAGCAGCTTGATAACTTAACATTTACACATTTTGTCTGCTATGTCTATCTCAGTTTAATAGTTAAAAAACTGGTGTCTTAAACATCCAGCCTAATTTTCTATATCTCTTTTTTTTATTCCCTCTCCCTGATTTTTTTTTTTTTTTACATCTCACCTGGTTAAATTCCCGGGAGAACTCAAAAACTTGCATAATTTTATAGGAGTTTTATAGGTCCTGAAAAAGGCATAATTTATTATTTTGCACGGATTAGGACATTTTTTTTCTACAGTGATCAAGATTATATTTTCTCAGGAAAATAAGTGCTGAACAATTCTGTAATTCTCAATAGCTTACAGGCCTGTCTGAAATCAATTGCCAGTCTTAGGAACACCACCTTCTGCTCTGTAACTAAGGGAACATTATTTACAAGCATTGGGAAGGAGAATATCAGATCTAAAATGCAAAAAAGGTGTTTCAATGTAGGTGTAATTTTTCAGTGGTTTGTTTTGCCTTAACCCATTGAGATCAAGCTTCTTGTGGGATACTATTACTCCACATGCCTAGTTTTTAATAGCTTCTTTCAAACGCTATGCCTTCAGCCCTGCATTTGTTACGTAAGTGAGGAACCTTTTTGATGACAGTCCTTAATGTTTCAAAAATGCTGGCAGAAAAAGAGGTCAAGCTGTCCTGATCAGGAACTGGTAAGAAAATCAGAGACCTTCAGACTGTACATTACAAAACTTGATTAGTGGATTAGGACTTGACAGCAGTCCTAGAATCACATCTCAACTAGATACAAATATAAATTGCAAGGAAGGATGGAGCTAAACAGAAGTGTTGATTGTCCATTATTAGGATGCACGTTTTACAATTGCAGTCATTCAAATGCATAGCTTTTTCTTCCCACTCTTCCCATGAATTCATAGATCATTTCTCTTGCTGCTTGAATCTGAGGACTTGTTGAGTATTTACATAACTAGGACTCTGGCCTGGGAACACTCTTGGCTTAGTCCTCACCTCTTACAGCCTATTCTTTTACTCCTTATATGTTTGGATATACTCAGTGAGTCTTTTTCCCTCTTACATCCTGACTTCGAACTCTTGGTGTAGTTAACTCAGTATTTGGGGCAGAATTTATTTCAACCAGGAGCTGCATGGCACATTTCAGAAGTGGGGGATGCAGGACCATTCCCTAACTTTCAATGCTTGGTGTTCATGGTGGTAGAGTTTGGGTGGTTTTCATTGTTTTGAAATGAGCAACCAGATACCAATGACACTTTACTAGGTAGCTATCACAATTTTATATAAAAGTTCAGAGCTGACTTTGACAATTCCACCAGGAAAGCAACTGCTAATCGGGAGGAAAACATTCAGCAGATTTTTAGTTGTATATCAGGGATATGTACTGGATTGATTTTGCCTGATTGACCAGTTTTAGGAAGGCTTTTCTGATGAACTGGGGGATGAATTAGTGTGACAAGGCTCATCTAAAACCTGGAGAGAATCATTCGACATTTCATGATGATTAATGGCAGGCTAGAGAGGTTGAGGGACAAGGGAAATAACCTAAGATGATTCCACATGCTTTCTTCGGGCTTCTCTCCCACCCACCCCTGCCCCTCCCTTTGCCTCCTTGCACTCCAGTGGCATGCAATCCATACAAAAGGAGACAATGAAAGGATTCCTATGTTCAGCAGGGAAACAACAAACATGACACCTGATAATATGTTTTTGTGGTGGTGCAATTGGTCACTTAGTACTGTCTTGCCTTGCCAAGCTTCCTTGCTCTCAATCAGCTGGAAAATAGTATACCTGAACAGATCTAGGACATCTTGACTTTGGGAAACTTCACAGGAGCTCAGCAGCCCCCCCCCCCATTAATTAAGAAGACTTTGGACTTCCAATACCAGGCAATTGAATTTTATAATCCCTATTAGCCTTTGTGCCTCCGTAGACATGGAAGTCCGACTATTAATTCTTTTGGTTGACTACGAATTTCATAGATGTGATGATTATATAGCAGCTGGGCTTGAACACACAACTTCAATTGGAAATAGTCAATGGCAGACAGAAAGAAATAATACACAATCATACATCACACATCCCCTTGGGAGATGAGACTAAATATCTAGGAAGATGTATCCCAACTATATTTGACTACTCCCCTGCACTCTCCAATTGTTTTAGACACAGATTGTTTACCTTGACAAAAAGCCAACACTAGTTGCAGGTATTTATCAGTTTCATTCTCTCTTCTGCACTGCTCTGCACTTCCTTGCCAGAAAAGTAATTCAAAATTTGCCAAGATGAAGCTGTGATTTTTGCCTCCACCTCAAGGATGTGACTTTGCTATCAAGTGGTTGCCTGAAGCCCAGTTCTAAGCCAGGAGGCAATGTGCTAAGTCTGCTCTAAAGTAGCACCTTTAAAAGAATTTTTAGACAACAACTTGAATAAAATATTTCTTCATCTTATGCATCTTCAGCATTGTTCTTTTTGTAAAACAATGACATCAGTTCTCCACCCAACCAGATCAACGGACATTTCAATAGACAGATCAATTCTCTTGAAATTTATTTGGCAAGGGAAAAAAGCCAGAATTAGAGTGAAAATGCTACAAGAAGCAAAAGAAAAAGAGGGACTTGGGCTGCCAGATTGGGCTCTATACTATCAAGCGTCTGTGTTAACATGGTTAAAATAATGGATAACCCTTAGACATAAAAAAATTACTTAGATGGCATGCCTTCCTATGGTATGGGAAGAATAAAATACATATATACTTTCAAAACCACTATATAAGAAACACACCTCTTCTAGAATGGGATAAAGTAAAAGCGAAAGTTTATATGAAAATACTTGGATGGCTTTCAACAATGGAAGCATTCGTTCACCCAAACCGAATTAACTATGAGAAAATTGTGACTTATAAAGACATTTTGAATATTGAA